GCTTCTGTGATTCCAAAAACGTTGACTGCTGAGATTTTTCTTTTGACCAGTGTCTCTTAAGTTTAGTTGTGCTGTCTCCAAGGGAAGGTGACGTGCCCTGTAGAACTTCTGTGTAGATTATGCTGCGTATTTTGGACATTTCTTTACGTGTTTGTTCGCCATGTGAATGTCTTCTTTGGGGAAGTGTCTGTTCATATCCTTTGCCCATTTTGCAATTGGGTTGTTTATCTTGTTGTGGCGCGCATGTATTTTATGAATTCTAGATATAAGTCTCTTATCTGTTATGTCATTACAAAAGACTTTTTCCTAGTCTGTGACTTCCCTTTTTACCCTGTTGGAGAAGCTTTTGGATATTCATAGGATTTGAATTCTTAGAAGGTCCCATTCATCTGTTTTATCCTTTCCTGGTTGTAGGTGTGGTGTACATTTTTATGTTAGGAAATAGATCCTATATTTTCAGAACTTTATAATGTTTCCATGAACCAGGATCTAATTTTGAACTTATAACAGCTGTAACACATCCCCCCCTTTTATCTTTCTATGACAAACAACACTCCTGGTCTTTGCTGTGTCATGTCAAAACTATGGTAACAGTCATCTATCTGATCTCACAAAAACTAATCACAAACTCATGAACCACATTTAAACTAGCTGCTGTCAAATCAAGTATGATTCATGGCGAGTCCACGCATGTTGGAATAGGATTGTCAGTGGCTGATTTGTCAGTAGACTTTCAGGCCCCTTTTTCTGAGGCACCTAGGATGGATTCAAACCACCAACCTCTTTTTTTTTTAGCAGCAATTATGTTAATAGTTTGTACCACCCAGTACACCAAAGAGCAGAGTAAACAAACAAAACCAATAAACACACAGCTATTAGGTTCATTCTGAGCTATAGCAATCTTCCATTGGGTTTCCAAGACTATAAATCTTTATGGTAAGATACTACTCATCTTTCTACCATGGAGCAGTTGGTGGATTTGATCTGCTGACTTTTCAGTTAGCAGCCTGGTACATCACACATCATGCCACCAACAACTCCATAATTTGTTATAGAATCAGAACTGACTCATAGCTGATCCTCCTCCAGCAGGTTTTCAAGGAATGTGAATTACCCAGGAGGAGACTGTCCTGGGAGTAGCTGGTAGATTTGAGTCACTTGCCTTTGGGTTGGCAGTGCAAATCCTCACCTAAAGGCCACCAGAGTTCCTTAAATAGCAGAAATAGTTCCTTAATGTTACATGAATTCACCATCACTTTGACACAACTGAACTCACACAAATTTATCATAGTCACCCTCCCTTGCTCCATATACAGCTTTTAAAAATCACTGAAAAGGCTTTGAGCCTTTTTGTGCACTAAACTCATTCCCGTCTAGCTGACTCTGACTTGCAGCAACCTAGTAAGACAACAAAATTCTTTCACAGAACTTCCAATGCTGCCAAAGCAGACTGTCATGGCATGGCTGGTGAATCCATTTCACCAACTTTTCTTTTTTCCCATCGTTGTTTTTTTTTTTTACTACCAGCCAAGGGCTTTAACCACTATGCCACAGGTTTCGCACTAAAACAAACAACATAAAACCCCAAATCCCTACTGCCATTCAATTTCAATTCCATAGCAAATATACAAGAGAAAGTAGACACCCTACATTTAGTTGCTAAGGCTGTAAATCTTCATAGAGGCAGACTGCCTCATCTTTATCCTATAGAGCAGCCTCTCAGTTAACAGCGCAATGATTAATCCATCACACGAGCAGGAATTCTTCTTTCAAATAAAGCTAAATAAGAACTATATATACCTTCTCCAACTGACCTACTTAAAGACATACTTGTTTGTTGTCACGTGCCATCGAGTTGCTGCGACTCATAGTGACCCTTATGTACATTAACTCTGAAACTCATCCTGTCCTGAGCCAATTTCATTGTCTCTGACAGACCTACTCCCATTGTTCCAGTCACAGTGTCAATCCATGTCATCCTAGGTCTTCCTCTCCTGTGCTGCCCCTCCTCCCTTTCAAGCATGATGTCCCTCTCCAAGGATACTTAAGGGTGGATAAATTTTGCTCATACCCATGGCAAAGTCTATTAACTGCTACAGATACTGGCATGAACCTAACATAATAGAACTAAAGTTATTTAAATAGGAAAAAATATGCACTGTCACTTACCACAACTTTCTTTACCAAATCCATAATCTCTTCCATCAATTCAATATGCTGTAATTTCTCCAAACTTAGCTCACAGGCACGAGAATTCCTTAAAGACAATTTTTTTAAAGACAGTTAGATTCCATCAAGTCAAGTACAACCCATAAAAATGAGGGAAAGTCTGCTCTCAGGGACCTCTCTAGAGTACTAAAGAGTAACAGTATCAGTTATTAGAGACTAAAGTGTGCCTGATTCAGGCCATGATCTTCACAATTACTTGCTATGCATCAGAGAGCTGAACAATAACTAAGGATGACAGAAGGATCGATGCCTTTGAGTTGTGGTGCCGGAGAAGAATGTTGAACATACCGTGGACTGTCAGGAGAACAAACAGGTCCGTCCTGGAGAGGGTTAAACCAGGCTACTCCCTGGATGCAAGGGTTTTGAGGCAACGTCTCACATACTTTGGGCACATGGTGAGGAGGGATGAGTCTATGGAGAGGGACATCATACAGGAGGGGAAGACCCAGGATGAGATGGGTTGACTCAGTGACTGGAGCAATATGATTAGGTCTGTCGGAGACGCTGAGATTGGCTCAGGATAGGGCAGGTTTTGGAGCTAACGTACATAGGGTTGTTACAAGTCACAGGTGACTCGACAGCACACCACAACAACCAAGACAGGGAGGGTGGGGGCAGAAGAGTGAGCATGGGCAGGGGAAATCACATGGTAGCACATTTTGGTGGGTGGAGGGAGGGGTGGATAAAGGAAATGGGAAAGATCCAGCAGGGATCTGGAAAGACAGGGTGATTGTGGGCAAAGCTCAGCAATGATTAATTTTAAAAAACATAATGAATGAGAATGATTGTATGAGATACAATGTGAATGAAGGATGGTGTGAAACACAATGTATATGAACTTTGTTAATAGACCAAACTAAAAGAATTTTTTTTTAAAAATTAGGATCTCATATATTAAAATTCATTGAAATTTACACTCTAATTTGTTGTTGTTAGGTGCTGTAGAGTTGAATATGACTCATAGCGACCCTATGAACAGATGTGAACCCTGTCCTGTCCTATGCCATTTTCACACTTCCTGACACACAAGAGCCCATTGTGGCAGTCACCATGTAAATCCACCTAGTAGAGGGTCTTCCTCTCCTTTGCCACCCTCCACCTTTCCCAATATCATGTCCTTCTCCAAGGAATAGCTGCTCCTAACAATAGGCCTGAAGTATGTGAGGCAAAGACTCATCATCCTTGCCTCCAAAGAGCACTCCAGAGGCACCCTCTCCAAGACATATTTATCTGTTCTTCTGACAGTCCATGGGATGTTCAGTGCTCTTCTCCCATATCAAACTCAAAGACATCAATTCTTCTGTCATCCCTATTCATTGTCCAGTTCTCAGATGCATAGCAAGTGACTGGAAAAACCATGGCCTGAATCAGGCACACCTTAGTCTTCAAACTGACTCCCAATAATTTGAAGAGGTCCCTAACTGCAGACTTTCCCATTCTATTTATCTCCTGATTTCCTGACTGCTGGTACCAAGAGTGTTTACTGTGGAAACAAGTAGGATGAAGTTGTTGACAGTTTCAATCTCTTCTTCATGCACTATGATGTTGCCGATAATCCAATGGTAAGAATCTTTGTTTTCTTGACATTCAGATATAAATTTAAAATTTCATTTTCAAATTCAATTAAAATATGGAAGAAAAACGATATTCTCTCTTTTTCCTTCTTAGGAGCAATTATTTACTACAGGGACATAATTGTTGTTATGTGCCACTGAGTAGGCTATGACCCATAGTGACTCTATGAACAATATTAAACCCTTTTCTTTCTTCTGTGAAACAGCTGTTTTTTCCTGATTCAGCTTTAAGTCTAATGCTATTCAGAATTTCATGCATTATAGTATTATAATCATCACTGATTTAAACCTAAATCCCAAGTATTCACTTCTTCTGCCTTAATCTATTAAATAAGAGTCAAGTTGAAAAAAATAAAGAGTCAAGTTGAACAGTGTACCAGGGGACATAAGTTTCCCTCTATACTTGGCAGTCTTATGCTACATATACTAGGCAACATGCTTCTCATTCTTTATGCAAAATTACTACCATACAGTAACTTACTTGGCCTCCACAAAGGGATGTAACTGTGCTATTAAAGAACCATTTCCACGTTGAAATAGCAGTGGCCAGAAGACATATATTTTTATGGTATCACAGTACTCTTTCAAGACAGAAACTGGTTTCCGACACCATATGTGAGAAATGTCAAATTCTTCATTTTAAAAAAACACAAAACACAACACTCTAATTAATATCTTTACTTTGGAATTAATCAGGCCTATTAGTAGGAAAAAGGTAAAAACAGGAAATGGATAAAGAAAAGTAAGACACGCAGAACAAGGTGAAAATATCTTTAACCAGATAAAAATTTAAGACACAAGTCTTAAATAAAGCTGTAGTTTTAAAAGAATGGCTTTAGTTCTACAGTGAAAAGAATAATTTTTAAAAAATATCTAATCATCTATATTGTATAAGTGAATCTCCCTTTATAGTCTTTCAAATATTTAATATTAAAATATCAGTGTGCTCACCTAAATTTTTCTGACTTTGAATGTGATCTTTACGATGCTCATCCTAAAAAAGAAAAAAAAAATTCTCCTTTTTATTTGGTAAATGCAAAATTATAGTTCTTTATTTGAATTCTAAGAGACCATCAAGCACCAGAATAAATCATTTCAATGCATATTTGCATATTGTTGTTATTATGTGCCATTAAGTCACCTGTGACTCATAGCAAGTGATCCTGTGTCCAACAGCCCTAAACTCTGCTCTATCCTGTGCCAATCGTATTGTCTCTGACACATCTATCCCCGTTACTCCATTCACTGAATATCTTTTCAACCAATGAGTCTTTTAAAGGCCTTTTCCAAAGAGCTTCCCTGGAGTTTGTTTCTGCAGCTCCTTCCAAGATTTTCTAATGTTCCTGCAGAAAACAACCTTTTATCATCACTTATTCTCTGCTGCTCCCTTCTGAAATATTTTCAAAACTATATGTGTTGTTGATGTGAGGTGTCAAGTCAACTATGACTATGAGACCCTTGGAGCAAAAATCTGAACCTTGCCCTTTCTTTTTTTTTAACCTTACCCCTTCATACTCACAATCTCTGATATGCTCAAATCCACTGCTACAGTTACAGGGTCAACACATCTTATTGAGGGTCTTTGTGTTTTTCTCTGACCCGCCACCACCTCTCCCAGCTTGATGTCCTTTTCCAAGGACTGGCCTCTCTGAAAAATAGGCCTAAAATATAAGAAAAAGACTCACTATCTTTCTGTTCATTGAGTTTCCGGAGGTAAGCCATTTCGGAAGTGGATGCCACTCCTGCTTCCAAGCTTGTTTTAATTGGGAAGTTCCACCAAACATTGTCCACCATAGGTAACCATTATCACATTTGGCATATCAGTGTCGCAGTGTTTAGCATCACAACAACCATGAGTTGTTACCTCTGTACAGCAACGCACAGACCAGTGCTATACCACCTAGAAGAATGTTTGACAGAAAAACAATTTGAACCCGGCCTGAGGGCGGCAGATTAAAATCACCCACCTTCAGCTTGGTAGCATAACTTTCTGTCCATTAGACCAACGTAGCTCTATGTCATCGTTGTTATTGGTGTAAGGCAAAGATCGTAAAATGGCTTGCCTCCAGAAACTCTATGAACAGTGCTCAGGCCTTTCATTCATAGAGTTGCTATGAATCATCTGCAACACGACGGCACCTAACAACAACAAGGTCTTTGCCTTGAAGGAGTGCCCTGGCTGTACTTTGTCCAAGATAGACGTGTTTGTTCTCTTGCCTGTCCATAGGGTTGTTAGTACTTTTCTCCAACATCACAGTTCAAAAGTATTAACTCTTCTTCTGTCATCCTTATTCACTGTTCAACTTTCAGATGCATAAAGCAATTTTTTTAAACTATGTATACCCCTCCTATAAAGATCCATGTACCAAAAATGGCCTCTAAATCAGAAAGCCTTTAAGAAGATACTATTAAAGACCAAAAATTAACAAACCTACTTACCACTACATTACTGTTAACTTGAGTCAAACGAACACAATGATGGGTCACAGATCCAGTAGCAGAATCCCAATCCTCCATATTTCTGCAGTCTTCTAGCACAGCATAATCCCCTATAGTGAGATCTTCCATGATCAGTTCAGCAGTGGCACATGATCCTAAGTGAACAACAGAAACCCAAACTGCTGATCAAATTCTTTGAAACTGGTAAAGAACTGCACTGCTAATGCAAAGGTATGCAGTTCGATCCACCAGCTCCCTCTGCAGGAGAAAGATGGTCAGTCTCCTCCCTCACGACTTACTGCCTCTGAGAACCCTCCAGAGGGTCATCTATGGGTGGGCTCCAATTCTACGGTACACAGCAATAACAATAAATACAACCTGAGCCAAAACACATCTGAAGCATTTTTCAGTGTGTTTCTGTCTTGGGAAAAGAGGCAGGCGGGGTTGAATTTCTCAATCTCTTAACTCCCACTTGCACTCCCAAACATTCCAACCTGTAATAATCCCTCACCAAATAGTCTCACAACCACATTTTCAAATGTTAAGTTTTAAAACGAATTCTGTCTAATGGAAAGGCATTAGAACTAGAGTTTGAGAATAATATTCCTCCCTGAGGAATTTCAATAAAAAGACATATTTTTTAAAACTATGCAAGCTTAACTACAAGACTTAAGTATCACTGAATAATAATAAAAGTAGCATTTTATTACTTTTAGCTCTCTCCCACACAATGGTTTCCTTTTCCTATCATCACTATTACTACCATTAATAACATTAATTCTACTTTTCTCTTTACCACTGTTGCCACCACTGCTAAGGTAAAGTATCTTTTTTCTGAAATTGTCACCATCAACTCTGAAAATATCAATCTAGTTCTCTAACTGATCTTTCTTATGTCCAATTTGCTGTATAAAAACCTTTAAATATCAAACCCACAGAACATCTACTATTTTTTCCTAGAAAAATATTTATACTGTTTTATACACATTCATTACCTCAATAACCCTCACAAAAATTTATCTTGGTGGGTCAGATCATCACCATCTTCTTCACAGTCCAGAGTTTCCTTAACTAAATTAAGTAATTTATCTAGGAAGGACTCAGACAGATACTCAAATACATTATTTCATGCTATCTCCCTTTCCTTGTCAATATTAACGATATACACCTCTCGGTTAGTCTTGTGTAATAATAATAATATCAGAAGCTTCAGTACATCTCAAGCCACTAAGCAGGTCAAAACTATTTCTTAAATCATTAATTCTGATCAGCTCCCTAGCCAAAAGATATTCCGATTTAAGCTTCCTCTATCTCTTACCAAGCAAGATGAAATTATTGACAGCTTCAATCTTTTCTCCATCTATCATAATGTTGTCTGTTGTCCTCTTAAGGACCTCTGTTTTCTTAATGTTGAGATGTAATCCATCCTGAAAGTTGTAGTCCTTGATCTTTTGCAGCAAATGTTTCAAGTTCTCCTCACTTTCGGGAAGCAAGGTTGTGTCATCTACATAACACAGGTTACTGATGAGTCTTCCACCAATCCTGATGCCACACTCCTCTTCATGGAATCCCGCTTCACATATTCTTGTCTCAGCAGAGTGACTGAATAGGTATGGAGAAAGAATATATCCCTGATGCACACCCTTCCTGATTTAAACCATATAGTTCCCTTGCCCCATTCAGACGATAGCTTCTTTGATCTAAACATAGATTTCATATGAACACAATTAAGTATTCTGGGTTGCACTGGGCAGGTCTGCTGTCAGGGACCTCTCCAATTAAGAGTAATGTCAGCTTGAAGACTAAGGGGCACATAATTCAGGGTTGGGTCTTTTCAATGAGCTGCTATGTGAATATGAGAGCTATAAAAAGGAGAATAATTGATACCTCTGAGTTGCGGTGCTGGAGAAGAGTACTGAATATCCCATGGACTGTCAAAAGAATAAACAGATGTGTCTTGGACAAAGTACAACCAGAGTGCACCTTGGAGGCAAAGATGAAGAAGACTTGTCTCGCATACTTGGGATGTGTTGGTAAGAGAAGCTATTTCTTGGAAAGGAACATCTAGCTTAGAAAGAGGGAGGTTCAGTGAAAGAGAAGAACCCCAATGAGAAAGACTGACACAGAGACTGCAGCAATGGGCTCATGTGAGTCAGAGATGATTAGGATGGGACAGGATAAGATAGAGTTCAGTTCTGTTGTTCATATGGTCACTACAAATCATCCTCACCTTGACAGCACCTAACCCCTATTGCCTACCACACAGCCTCTAAAAACCCCCTAAAGGGTCAGCTATGAGTAGGTTCCTACTCAACAGCACTTAACAACAGCAACATGTTCTACCACATCTCTTCTTCAACCAAAGCAAGAACTCTTCTTTCTCCCATTTTAACATTACATTCATGTTCACTGGCTCTTCCCAGCCATTTGGTTTCCACATCTACTATTCAAAGGGAGCTCTGGTGGCTTAGTGGTAAGAAGCTGTGCTGCAATCCAGAAGGTATGCGGTTTGGATGGACCAGTGGCTCCATGGGAAACAGGGGGCAATCTTCCATGTGATTAACTGCCTCTGAAAACCTGCGGGAGGGTCAGCTACGAGTTGGTTCTGACTCGACAGTACACAACAACCACCACCACCTGGTTAACTGGTTAACACATGAAAGTGTTTGAAACAGTATATGGTATAAAGGGAAAGCTATCAATGCCAATATACTAGTTAACATGTCTATTAGGTTAACGTTGTAGTCTCCTAACTTGTCTCCTTTTTTCCAATCTTGGCATCTTCTAAAACTTAGACCAAGGAATTCTACTATTCAAATAATTGAGTAACTTCCCTTCATTTTTGAAGTCCAAACTCCTTGGCACAGCACATAAGGCTTTCTGTAGTCCTGTTCTGCTGTTCTGTCCTGTGACTCCATGACATCTCTGGGTAGCAACTAGCCACACCTAATTGCTTGTCACACCTTAACAAAGCTAATGCCAACCAACTTGAATACTCAACTCCTATATAAAAACATATCTTAATGTTATCACAACACTAAGCCTATTTCTGCACCTCTTATCTGCAAATCCACAGTAAAGACCATGACATAGCTCTCTGACAGCAATCTTCACATTACCTGGTCATCACAGGTTTATCTCTGTGAGGTCCAAAGGGTACAGTGAGGTTGTTCATCTTCATTTGTTAGCTCAGTTCCCCCAACTCTTTCACTCACAAAGTGAAGGCAAAGGAAAACAATTTTGCCAAACAACTCTTAACTTTAGTAAAATTGTTTTAATAGGGAAATATATAGTATTTTAAAAAAACTCTGTTTGGCACAATTTTTTTTCCTAATTACAAATTAAAGAGGCTACTAAACTAAATAGACACTACTAAAACTAAGTACTAAAATCCAAGACTTGTTTCTCACTTAAGGTAAATAAGATAACTCTCCTACTGAGGAGAGTGCATTCTAGGGTTGTTTTTTTTTAATATTTAGGATAAGATATATCAAGCAAACAGCAATAAAAAAAAGAATAAGACTAGCAATATTACTTTATGATAAATAGATATCAGTACAATAAGAGACAAGGAAGGGCACCCTATAATGACCAAAGGGTCAAATGAACAAGGAGACATAGCCATAATTAGTATCTACAAAGTTAAGTTCTGGTGGCCTAGCGAGTGAAGAGTTACACTGCCAAACCAGGCAGGTAGCTTAAACCCATCAGCTGCTCTGAGGGAGAAAGATGAGCAAGCTCCTCTCCTGTAATTTACAGACTCTGAAAATTCCCTAGAGGGTCAACAGCTCCCAGAGCTCAAACAGTCAGAGAAGCATCCCCTTTGGGTTAGCAGCACAATTCTACAATACCAACGTAGCTCACTCATATGTAAACTATGTTGGGAAAAGAGAATTTTTACCATGCAGAAGAATGAGTCAGGATCCACACTTCACACCATATACAAAACCCAGTTCAAGACAGATCAAAGGCTCAAATGTTACAATCCTTTGCCCTCTTCCTTTCCAGCCTGGTTCCGGCATTATGGGCCCCGCAAAGAAGGGTGGTGAGAAGAAGAAAGGCCGTTCTGCCATCAACGATGCGGTGACCAGAGAGTACACCATCAACATTCACAAGTGCATCCATGGAGTGGGATTTAAGAAGCATGCTCCTCGGGCACTAAAGGAGATCCGGAAATTTGCCATGAAGGAGATGGGAACACCAGATATTCGCATTGACACCAGGCTTAACAAAGCTGTCTGGGCCAAAGGAATAAGGAATGTCCCATACCGCATCCGTGTACAGTTGTCCAGAAAACGTAATGAGGGTGAAGATTCCCCAGACAAGCTGTATACACTGGTTACCTATGTACCTGTCACCACTTTCAAAAATCTACAGACCAACAATGTGGATGAAAACTAATAGCTGATTGTCAAATAAAGTTATAAAACTGGAAAAAAAAAAGGCTCAAATGTGGAGACACTAGAGAGAAAGACCCTCAATGAGATGGATTGATTCAGTGACTGGGGTAATGGGGATAGGTATCAATCTCACTGTCTCTACACACCCATCCCGATTACCCCAGTCACTGAATCAGTCCACCTCATAGAGGGGTCGTAGTTAAAGGAATTTCTCGATCTGTCTTGACATACAATGTTGTGACAGGATAATATCCATACGCATACAAGGAAGTCCAGTGAATACCACTATCATTCAAATATATGCACCAACAACCAGAGCCAAAGAGGAAGAAATAGATTATTTCTACCAACTTTTGTAGTCAGAGATCGATCAAACATGTAATCAAGATGCATTAATAATAATGGGTGACTGGAATGCAAAAGTAGAGAACAGAGAAGAAGGATCAGTAGTTGGAAAACATGATCTTGGTGATAGAAATGAAGCTGGAGATAGTGAGACAGAATTTTGCTCAATGATTTATTCACTGCAAATATGTTTTAAAAGAATGAGTCACAGACAAAACAAATATCTAATTTTTAAATAAATTTTAAAATGTGAAGCAAATTTAAAAATGTGATAGTATTAAACTATACATATGTAGTTTAATACTATCATAAAAAAGTAAAAACAGATCACAATATATTGTTTAAGGATTCGGAGTGGTTAACACATAGAACAAGCAAGGAAATTAATACATTGAATGCAGTTATAAAAGGATGGGGAGGAGCAGGAAACATCCTCAACATATGCAAGATCTCCTTTCTTTTAAAGACAAACAACCTGAAGTAAATTTGACAAAATGTGTGCATCTGTAAGAGCTGACTTATAGATTGGTTAAATTCTTTTCTGTACTTAGGTATGGAATGACCCAGAAATTAAAAAGAAAAAGAAAAAAAAAAAACAGGAAAGAGTAAGAAAATTGTATAAGAGAGAAAAAAGCCAAAATTCAGTCCTTGACTGTAGAGCACAAATTCTGGAGCACTCAAGAAGAGTTATGGTGTTAGGCACCATTAAGCAGACCTTCCAGCAAGTTTTCAGAGGCAATAAATCACACGGGAGTTGACTGCCTGTCTCCCATAGAGTAGCAGAGAGGTTTGAACCACATAACTTCAGGTGGGCAGTGCAACCCCTTACTACTAAGCCACCAGAGCTCCCTCGAGAGGAATAGTGAGTCTAATAAAGTAGACATTTCTGTCCCTGTGTATCTTACAATTAATCTTACTTTCTTTAATATTCAAATTTCTTGCAGTCAAAAACGTCCTAAATAGTAGCAAACTGCACCCAAAGGAGAAGTAACCTTTTTTAAGATTTCTACTTTGTTACCCTCACCAGGAATGTTCGGCCATCAGAAAAGGTCATTTGGGAGGTCTGGTGGCTGAGCGGAAAGAAGCTGCACTCAAATCTACCAGATGCTCTCAGAAGAAAAGATGGGCTATCTCCTCCCGTACCATTTACTTTCTCTGAAAACCGCTGGGGGCTCAGCCATGAGTCGGTTCTTACTCTATGACAACCACCACCACCACCACCTTGTTTCCTTCACCAGGATGTTGGTTAAAATCAGAAGACGTCATTTATGTGAATGCCTGAAAACCTTACCAAACCAAAAGAGGTTTCCAAGAACGCTTGGGGTAGGTTACAAGGTATCTGCCTCATTGACAGGTGCACATATTGAGGGAGTTACAACCTGAAGGACTATGAGCCATAAGAGAACTCTGGAAAACGTCCGCCACAGTGGTAATCAGCCCAAATTCACCTACGTCTTGGCTCGGTTTTAGTCCCTTTATTTTATCCAAGGGAGCTGTGGTGGTTTAGTAGCAGTCTCACTACCTAATCCAAAGAAACATGGTTCAAATCCACAAGATGCTCCGCGGGATAAAGATGGGCTATCTCCTCCCGTGTGATTTACTCTTTCTCAAAACCACGTGGAGGGTCCTACAATAACATTTTATTCCAGGGACACACTGGCTCAACAGGCCACACTTGGCGAAGCTGCGGGTGGGAACCGGTCTGGTCCTCCCGTTTCTTCGCGTTTCTTTCCGGGAGAAGCAAGCAGAGCTGCACTGGGCTTAGGTCTCAGGAAAAAATACGTGGCAGACAACGGAGGGAACACAGAGAGTGGGAAGTGCATGAATGCTTCAGAACATTCGCGAATGAGAACCCGCACACGCACGTGCCCATTCGGACGGAAGACAATCCAGGTGAGGGTCAGGGTAGAGGTGCAGCTACGTGCACCCCTCTGGGAGGGGCAGTGACCCCCAAAGGGGTCTACCCACCGAAGCTGGGAGAAGGGGCGCCAACGCTATGGCTCTGAAGGACTGACGCAGACCACAAAGAGGGTGTCGCGACGGAAATACACAGGTGCGCAGTGTGTGCCAGTGGGTCCCCTCCACAGTGGTGTCACCTACACCCGGGGACAGGGTGCTTGTGGACAGCAGGGGATGTGCATCCAAAAGGCAAACTCCTACCTTCCTGCATACCCTCAGAGCAGTGCATAAGGATGTGACATCCCAGTGCACGCTGACAACCCGGTGGGCACTGCAGTGAGAAGCGCGGGGGCAACGCGCACACATCTACATACTCATGCAGGGGTTGCAGAGGACTAGATCCTCGTTCCTCGGAAATCGTAGGTGCAGTGGGACACGATGACCTACGAGCCTGGGGCGCACTTACCAGGGCCTGCAGTCCGCAAGCCTCGGAAGGGGACCACAGCCATCTCCGCAGCCGCCGCAGCCACTGCAGCAAACCCTGCGCGTCAGCCTGGAGGGGGCGGGACTGGAGGCAGACGGGTCACGTGGGACAGAGACACGCACGCGCAGTCCGGACATCTCCGCCTCGCCTGTCGCGGCGTCTGGTGGAGCCTGTCTCCTCCGGAGCACCGGCCGTGCCTCTCTCCCCCGAGCTGCTGGTGACCGGCGTCGCAGTGTTCGCGTGCGCTTGAGGAACAGAGGAGGGCTGGCGGGTTCGTCAGCCCTTTGCTTTTCTCTCATTCTGTCCTCTCACTCCGATGCAGTTCCCTAGTCAGCGCCTGCGCAGAGGATTCAGCGCAGGTGGCTGAAGGAAGGAGAGAGCCCGGGGTGAGCGCTTGGAGGGCTCTGATAGAGGGCGTACCCCACCAATCTTTAAAGGAAGCGTCGAGTGAGACGCAGAGCCCGAGAGAGGGCAGGGATCAGGCCTGACGAAGTGGTGCTCTCCAGGCGCGAAGGTTTGGATCGGGGACGCTTGCGCCAGTCTGCCCTCTCTCTTGTCCACCGCACTGGGGACACAGCTTGCAGGGCTGGAGCGGCGCTCTGACTGCCTCGCTCGTCCCGTCTGCAGCAGCTTGTGCCGCGCTGGCCTGGGCGCTCGAGCACGGGGGCGTGGGGTGGAGTGAGGGCAGGGTGGCAGTTTGCGATGGTTTCCGCTGAAATAAGGCAACACCTCTTCCCTTTGCAAAGCAATGTTAAAATGGACGGGAAGTAAATCGCTGATGAACTGTTTCTTTTCCACAGATTGTCTAAACCCACAGGGAAAATGGTGGAAAATTCACCGTCGCCGTTGCCAGAAAGAGCGATTTATGGCTTTGTTCTTTTCTTAAGTTCCCAATTTGGCTTCAGTAAGTATATTTTTAGTGGGTGACTAGGAGCGCTTCTGGTGTTCAATAACTAGGAACTGTTGCATTTGTACCTAGAAAGTATAGATATAATTGATTCTTCCAGGATTCAAGGTATGCCAGATACTGGTGTAAGAGTTTTAATGTCAGTATTTGTTTGCACAAAAACAGGCCCGATGGCAGAGATATTTGGTGACCTAAGAAAGCAGTTAGAATCCACCTAAGCTCTTAAGGGAGAAAGATGGGCGATCTCCTTGCGAGTGATTTACCTCCTAAAGGTCAGCTGTCAGTTCAAACTCGGTGACTCAGAGGGATTTTTTTTTTTATTTTTTCTTTTTTCATTTTGACACTTGATGGCAAAGTGACTAAAGTCCGGTTCTTGCACTTTTGGAGGGCCTGGTCTTGTGGACCAACCAGATAGACAATCTGTGATTAATGGTGAGTTGATAAGTGTAGTGGAAGTCTAAAGGGAATACATTGAAATCAAACACGTAAATCAGAGTTCCACTGTTCTCCAGGGATAGTCTCTCGAACACTTAACACTGATTACAGATAAAAAAGTAAAAAGGAAGAGAAATTTTATAGATCAAGAAAGTGTGGCTAGATTGAGAAGTGGAAGGGTTTTATGTGGCTTCAGTACATGTAGGAATTGAGGAGTGATGGGAAATAAGCTAGAGAAGCCCCTTTGAAAGATGTATCCTTAAATCGTGAATCTCACTTAATCCTCAAAATGTCCTGTTTTATAGATAAGAAAACAGACTGTCCCTGAGACACTAATATGTCCAGTCTACCAAAAATCCAAACCCATTGCTGTCTAGTCTATTCTGATTCATAGCAACCTTCTAGAACCGAGTAGAATTGCCCTGTTGGGGCGAGCTCTGGTGGCCTAGTGGCAAGAAGCTGCACTGCAATCCCAGAGGTACAGGGTCGAATCCATTAGATGCTCTGCCAAAGGAGGAGAGATCTGATTTGATGGTACAGGTGCACACACGAATAAAATTAAAAAAAAATATTTTAAAAGAATTGCCTCATCGGGCTTCCATGGCTGTAATTCTTTTGGAGAACAGATTGTCCCATCTTTCTCTTGCAGAGCATTTGAGGGGTGTGGCGGGGTCCACGCTCTGAACCTTTGTCTTGGCAGCTGAGCATTGAACCAGTGTACCTCTGTGGCTTGTCCAGTCACTCAGCAGCCTTACATCTCCCCATAAGGATTCTGGAATTAAAAGGGAAACAAAATAACGAAAAATGATTACCTCTTAACAAGTCTGGAATTTTCTGAAAAGTTGGGGTATGAGGACAGAGGAACTTTAACTAAAAAGCCTCCGCTTTAGAAACTATCAGTATCACTTGGAAATGGTTTAAGGACCGAGTTAGTAAGATATTCTGTAGAGTGAAGTAATTATGTTGTGGTTAGTGGTCAACAACAAGTCAGTCCCAGATCATGGCAACCTCACGCTGAGCAGAACAAACCATCATCTGGTGCTGGGCCATCAATTCTGGGTCAAGCTGTTGTGATTTTTAAAAATTCTGTTATGAAATTCCTTATTTGTAAAAGGGATGGCAGAATGGCTGATAACATTTATTGGTCTGATGGGAACCAGATACTCAAGTCTTTTTAAGGTAGGTAATGTCATTATTCCTCTACGGTCAAATAAATTTTCTTTTAAAAAACCCAGGCCCACCACCAGGCTCTCATTGGCTCCAACAAGAGGCTTCCAGCCCACACTCAGCACCAACCAAACAGCTTCGAGCCTGGTTTGGTTTTGTTTTTTTTTTTTAATTTTAATTTTCTTTTTAAATTATCTTTGAAATGAACATCCTCCCAAGTAGTACAGCACTGTTTGTCATTTTGCTGTACTGAGTTAATTTGAGATTGCTGTGATACTGAACAGTGTGCCACTGGTATGTCCAAGGCCATAATGGTTACACAAATGTTACACATGGTTGATAATGTTTGGTCAAGCTCACAGGTTAAGACAGGCTTGGAAGCAAGAGTGCCATGCACATCTAAACATGCCTGTGAAAACTCTATGAACTTGGAGAAAGGACAATATTTATAGAACAAGGTTAAGGTCTTTTGTTTATAGGGTCACTACTGAGTAACACTTAACAACAACAACATATAATGCTAGGCCCTTGTCTCCATTATGGAGTTGGATGAAGTGGCTGGACTCTGTAAGATAGTGCTCTTGTTTTGGTTGAGAGTCTGTGTGGAATGTTTGGTTGTTTTTTATGTAAGCCTCTTGATTAGAGTCAACAAGACCTCCTGGAGGGCCCTTGTATTTAAAAGTTGGGCCTGAGGGATTATATTTTTATCCCTTGTTACTATATTTTGGAGGAACCATCTTCTAAGTCATACAGCACTCTTTTGACTATTTGCTGTGATGAAGTAATCTGGGTTTGCTGTGACACTGAACTTTGTGCCATTAGGATCTCAAATGCCATAATGGCTGCCTTTGGTGGACAGTGTTTGGTGGCACTCCCAGTTTCAGACAGGTTTGGAAGCAGGACTGTCATCCACTTCCTAAACAACATGCCTCTAGAAACTCTATGAACTTTGAGAAACAACGATAGTTACAGAAAGGCTTCAGGTCTTTTGTTTATAGGGTCACTATGTGCTTGTCTAGACAACAATCAACAGCAATCAACAATGTCATTATGGTCCTCACCTTACACTTGAGACTACTAAAGCACAGATGGATTTAAGAAACATTCCCAGACACTCAAAAAGTAAAACCAAACCGATCACCAGTGAAATTTGTACTCATGGAGACCCTCTAGGACCATAGAGACCCTGTAGAACCATAGTCTTTCCAAGGTTATTATCTATAGAAACAGACTGCCCCAGTTGGTGAGTTTAAACTGGTTACCTTGGTTAAAACTCAGACACTAACCACCATACCACCAGGGTTCAAATATCACACAGCCAGCGGGGCTATGAGTCTAGGTGCACTGGCTTTCTGTACTATTAATTGCTTTACTTTGCTCCCTCTTGTAGGTTGTTGTGAGGATTCATTGGGGTAATTAATAAAGCATAGTACTCAATTGGCATACGTTAAGTATTAAAAAGAGTGACTACTGCTGTTTTTTATTAACATTAATGAATTTTGTAATCTTATTCTGTAGAGAATTTGAATGATTAGAAACTATACAAATAAATATATAGGTAAAAATTAATTCAACTATTGACCACTTGATATGACCAAGACGAAGTTGGGTGACTTTTAGTTTGTGGCCCTCTGGCCAGTCTTTCATTGTTTTTGTTCAGACCTTCCTCTAGGTCGTATAGCCCTGGAGTACAAGTTGCCGTCCCGCGGTCACTTGTGGTTGCTGTGAGGCTGAACACTGTGACATGGATGTGTCAAATGCGTTAATGGTTGGCTACCCAATGCGGACTGAGAGTGGGATGGAGCTCCCCGATTAAACAAGCATGGAAGGAGGAGTGGCATCCACTTCCATAACAGCTTGCCTCCTATGAAACTGGAGAGAGGATGAAAGGAACCCAAGCATCGAGGACTCTCCTTCATAGGGTCGCTATGAGTCGCCTGAGACTCGACAGCACTTAACAACATTGACCACTTACCATGGTCAGGTACTATATATAAGTCTAGGAAGAGCAAAACTAAAATTTACTGTCTCACAGTTTTCATTCTAGTAGAGGTAGACAATGAACAATAAATGAAACATACCATGTCCTGTGATAATATGTACTATGGGAGACATTAAGGACAAAGGGTAAGAGATAGAAAAAGGTTATTCAGTTAAAGCGAGCAGTCAGAAGTACCTTACTGAGATGGAAGTTTGAGCAGATGTGAAAACAGAGGTGTCTGGGTGATTCTTGAGGAAAAGAGCATCATAGAGAAAGAAACCTGCCTAAGAGTTCATAAGAGTGGCAAGTAGCTAGTCTGAAAAAGTCAAAATAATGATATCAACCAGTGCTGGGCTCTTATGATAAAACAGTTATGGCACAGCAGGAGGATTGCATGATTTGTGCATTGAAATATTGATTTGGAAACAAGATAATTATAGATCATGATGATGGCTTTAAGTAAAGGGAAAGTGTGTGTGTCTGTTTGTCTGTATGTCTGTGACAGTGTATGTGAGCCTCTTTGCGTGTGTCTGTGGGTGTGTCTATGTGTATGTTGGTGTGTCTGTGTGTGTGTGTGTATGTCTGTGATAGAGAGACTAGGGGTCAGGAAAAGCCTTTGAGATGATGATATGTAAGTTGAAACCTCTTTTGATGGACAGAAAAGGGACAAACCATTGAAAATCAAAGGGAAGAACAGATGTTTCCAGGCAAACAGCATTGCAAAGGCCCCGAGTGGAAAAGGTTGTATGAAGTGCAGAAAGAAGACTACTGTAGCTGGAAAATAGTGCACAGAGATTAGAAATTACATTGGAGAGAGGGACACAAACCAGATTGTTTAAGTCTTTACAGATCCTGGGGAAAGAGCTTGGATTTTATTCTAAGGGCACTGAAGCCGTTGAACTGGAAAATGTTGTGATTCAATTGATATTTTTAGAAAATTATCCTGTACTTTGTGGAGAATTAACGTGGCAAGCATTATCTTTGGTGTTAAAATGACTAGTCACCCAATTTGAAAATGTAAAACTTGGCTATCAATCCTCACATAACCTGTTCCTTTTCACCTTAACTCATTCATTCATTTCTGTCACTACTGTGGGCCTTAGTGATCTGATTTTGTCACCCTAAATATATCCTCCATGGGAGTTCTAGGGGTCTGTACTGTGTTGCACTCCTAACCAAGTACATCCTCAACATAGTTACATAGCAACCTACTCCCATTCAAATCTGAGCTTTCTTGCTTGTAACCTCTTTGGTGGGAGCATGAATAGTTATTTCTATAAATGGTTTATGCATTATTTTTCTCTCTTAATCTTTTATGTTCATGTTCCTTGTACAAGTGCTTTTGCAACCTGGGCTGCTTATTTTTCCAGCTTTGTATAACAACCCTTCCAGCAAATCTTAACTACTTATGGAGCTCTGTAAATACATCACATGCTTTCTCACCTCCCTGATTTTATTAAGGCTCTTTCTCCTTCTTGGAATGTTTTTCCCACTGTCTTTTTCTCTTGCCCTAGCAGTTGACTGTGTGTAGTTTACCTCTGCACATCCTTTGACTCAGCTCAGGCATCACTGTCAGAAAGCCTGTTCTCAGTCTTACCTTATTTTTATGTTCAGCACAGTACTTGTTTTACAGTGGTCTGTAAGTACCATAGAATGAACAGACTTGCTTCATGATGCAGCTTTATAACTTTTATTTTAAGACTTACATCAAGTTACTAAAATTTGCAAAGCCTCCATCTATTTAATCTGTGAACTAGGGATAATAATAGTAGCTCCCACCTCATAGGGCTTTTAAGAGGCTTAGATATTACTCTTGTCACCACATTTGGTTTGTGTGTCTATCTCCAAGCCTAGTTGCTTAATTTCCTGATAATTCTTCCTTCTCATTGCCTTCAATCCAGAACTGACTCATCACTAAGCTTCTCTCAGGTTTCTGAGACTGAATCATACGGGATGTGATTGCCCATCTTTCTCCCATGGAGCCACTAGTGGATTCAAATCACCAGAGAGATGAGGCTTTTGGTTTAGCATTGCAACTCCTTGTAGACTGTAACACCAGAGCTCCCTTCTCTGAGAATGTTGTTGTGTACCCTCAAGTAGGAACTGACTCATAGCTGACTCTCCAGTGGATTTTCAGACACAGGTGGATTCACACCAAGTGCAAGGAACATAATCTCCTCTTAGTTCCTCTCTTGCCTTCCTCTCCAGGAGCCCTAACCATACACATTTTTTACCTGGTTAACCCCCTACCCATCATTCACATTTTGCCTCCACCTGTCTAGGTTAAAGTTTTCTTTT